GCAGGTTCCCGTGGCTGCTCCCTGACCTGGCTCCATCCCCAGAGCGCCCTGTCGACCAGAACAGTACCTGAGCCCCAAGTTTGTAAGCAAGGTGCTGCTGTTACACCGGGCCATGAGGGGAAAAGGTGGACCATGAAAGCCTGGATAGTGAGGGACGCTGGTTCTGTGCCGGGGGTAGGAGGACAGGGGGTCGGGAGACAAGGGGAGGTTGGCGATGCAGGGCTCCACGTCCATGACGAGGTCGAGCGGAGAGGTGCAGCCAGCAGGGGAGCCGGCAGAGGCCGCGACGGAGGAGGTAGAGGGGTAGTCACATGGCGGGGGAGGCTTCACGTCTGGCATGGCTCGGGGCAGAGCGAGCGGCCCTCAGACGTGCAGTGAGCTGGTACAGAGATCCACAGCCTGCAGCAATGAAGACGAGAAAGGACAGAATGTCTTTATTCATGGTCCCGAGCAAGAAATTGACAAAATGACTTTACATCTTGGAACATTAGCTCACAGCCTCAAACGTGAATTTCATTACTTTAGATGTTTCCTCCATCATAACACAGCTCAATATTGAACATTACTCTTCAGTGTAGATTGTAAAATGACCTTTTAGTACACATCAGTCTTCTTCAGCCACACTGACGACTACACAGACCACAACTCTGGACACAGAGACAGTGTCTCTGAAGCCTGGTTCGTTCACCAGAGTAATCACATTTATATCATACAATGGCGTTCTATCTGCCCCCTTGGGCTATTTCTTTATTTTCCTTTCTCTGCGGCAAGAATAATAATAGAGGGATTATTGCCTGGCTTGTCGGGCTATTAAAACATGAGATTGAGAGACAGATAGTGGAGGATAGTGAAAAAAAAATGAGTAGATGAGACAAAGATGAGACAGACGAAGAGGAAATGAGTGTGATGTTAAGAGAAGGCAGTAAGCTGAGGGGACAGTAATGAAGATAACTGCCTGGCAGTCCACTGGTGGATGGTTCTGCTTTTTTCCTTCAGACTAACCAGACAGTATAGCTGCAGATTAGCAGCCAAGACAGTTGGCAAGATGGCACCGGGTGTACTGTGGCTCTGTCGCTCTCTTTAATGAGTACAAATAGCAAGTTCACCGCCCAATACAAATTCTCATTCTCCATATCTCACATCGGGTCTACATCACAGTGAGTAGCGCAGGGTCATGGCTGTGATTATGACTATGGTTATGAAACAGGGACTCAGAGGGCTCATCCCTGATGCATTATGTGAATAATAAAATCCAAATCATCTCCAGACTCAGATGCTTTCCGATGCTAAAGCACGAACAGGCTGCCACGCTTCTCCGAGGCTTCGCGGTAATAAGTAAATTGCCATTCCTTACATGGTTAGAGGTAAGCAGCCCTGCGATCCGAGTTAATCAGTGGGCGGTTTCCCTCGGATTTTATTTGTTGGCTGCTAATTAGATGAACATGTTTTTATAAAACAAATCCTTGTAGCAGCAGAGTCTGAAAGACACACCACATTCACAAAAACATAATCATTTTATCTTGAACAAGGAGGAGACTGGTGATATTTTTATATATTTCATATTAAGAAAACAAGAGTGGAGTGATTGCACTAACAAGTACTGTGATTATCTAAAGCCGGATATATCTCACTTCTCCTTTTGTCTATTTTCTGTTATGCATTGCACAAGGTCGCATGCTGCTTCTCTACCACGCATGCACACGTAACAGTACATTTTCATTTAATCTCAAATGCACTGTCCTCAGTGTTGGGAAGGTTTTAAAATGTATTTCATTACAGATTACAGAATACATGCCCCAAAA